ATCTTATTGCCCTGGTCAGAGAGAAAAAAATGAAAGGCTTGTAAATTAAGTTTTCAATAACTTTGGTCACCGTTGGATTTATATTTAAGTAGCTTGTTTAAGGTGAAGGGATTCAACCAAAAGGTTACAGCAAAATCTTGTCGACTCATTCAGGTCAAATCCGCTTTTCCTCTGCTATTCTGAACAAACATGTTCATGCTTCAGAAGAAGCAATTTCTACTATAATCTGTGTGGCAGTGAACGCCAAAAACAGTGCTCAATGACCTATTTGAGCCAACTGTAGTCTTCAAAAGCGCTCCTACTAGTTTGATGTAAAACCTCGAAAGGTTTTGGGCTCTTCCAGGCAACTATGTATATAATGCTTGGATTTTCTAATATATTTGCATACCATAGGTTGACAATCGTTAAAACAGATATAACAATCAGCTAAATACATATTTTTCTTGATCTTTCTTGGCATTCGTATTATCATATATAGGTTTTCAGACTTCAGTAGTGCAGTAAGCTTTTGAATTGCAAGCAGAAGCAGAGAGGTCTAAAAGTCAACATTTATGGAGTTTGGCAAATTATTTCTGGGATAGGAAGATGAGGACTTAACAGAAATCATAGATAGACTACCATGGACCATTCTTCTTACCTAGCAGATTTCTCAACATGATCACTTATCACATGAAATAAATGCTAAGCTCATTCCACATTCTAAAAGGAACTTCTGGTTTTGATCACGAGACGAAGACGTCAAGAGTCTCGTCAGGTTCACCAAAGAAAGAAGAGGTTTAAGGCTTAAAATAGGAAGAGTATGGCTCCTATGTTATCCTGAAGACAGGCTTAAGATAAAACTTCAGCCTGGTCCCTATTGGGCACCCAATCTTTTTCATTATCACAGTTTCCATCGACGACTCGTATCCAAATGAATTGAATATAATTAAAGTTTAATGCTTCTGTTGTTAATCATCATATGCTTATGTCAAAATAGCCCAGGAAAAATAGCGAGAGTGTCACAAACACTGACAGCATTTAGGAATCAATATTTGGTATATAGAGAAAACGATAGGCATACTCTGTATTTAAATCATTACTCGATTATGAACCAAATAAAGAAATCTTACCGCAGGATCCCTGATCCTTGACGCCAGTCACAATTCCATAGTTCCTCCAATCCAAGGATGATGGTGCATCACAGGACTGCACCCTTCTCCTCATGTTCCTTGATAGAGCGCTCCCCTTGTTGATGGGCTTTTTCACCTTTGCCAGGTAAGCTTTTCTGAACTCCTCATTACTCATATCAGCAAACTTGTTCAATCCCACACGGTGTCCCCCCTCAGTTGATTTTCTCTTGGCATTCCTCTCCAGTATATACTTCAAATTCGCCTTAAAGTTTTCAAACCTTTTCTCCGCCTCTTCAGCATGCTTGTACACTTTCTGATGCTTTTCTTTCCATTGTCGAAAGATCTCCACCACCCGTTCCTCAGAAAGGAATGCATCAAGGTCATGTTCCAATATGGAGTATTCACTAGGAAGGCTAGAAGAGAGGCATGTTAGTGAAGCCAAGATCAAGAAAACGAAAGCCAATACGCTTCTCTGGAAACCCATTTTTGCAACTGGGTTGCCAGTGATGTCTGATCTAATCTGCATTGAATTGTATATATGGTGGAAATACTTGCTAACTAAGCCATGCCTACCAGTCAGCCCAAGCACATCTCTGTTTCAAAAACGAAAAAAAAAAGTTTGCCCATTTCATTTTTCCGCCCTTGCACATTTAAAATATTATCATTTTTAACAAAGGGACCAAAATAACATTTGACGTTTACAAAGAATTGCAAAAAAAAAATGGAGGGCATTTTATGAATTAGTCAGATGATTTTGGAAAATATTTTAAAGAAATAGTGGAACTGTTGTGTTGAATAATTTATTGTTGTAACTAGTTTCCCGTAGCCTATTCTTGAGTGGCACCAAATTGTATTGGTGGTTGGCGCCCGTCTGCGGTTCAGACTTCAGAGCTCTTTGACTTGCGAGTAAGGATAGTAGCTGGAGCCTGGAGGTAAATCTAACAGTCAACTTTACTTAGTATATTGACCGTATATATCTTATGTTCCTACGGGCTACAAATGACAGATAGCTTTTGCTTTCCCCACCCAGAAATGAAAAACAGAGCCTATAGACAAATTTAAAAGACTATAATTAAGTTTGGGAAATCTGAAAATGAATTGAGATGACACATATCCTACAGAATTCAAATGTTAGAATGTTATGGGAGGTCGAATCCGTAGAGGTACTTGTTCAAGGTAGAGTTGAGACCTTCACAGATTACATGTATGGGATGGGGCTATTAGTCTGACTCTTATCACGTTAATACCGGGGTCCGGGGACATGAATGATTGAAGCGCTCACCTACCAAGGTCACTAATATTTGCGATCCACTTACCAGCATTGAATCCCTTTGATTTTGTGTACATCAATGCCTTAAACCACAACCCTACAAAACGATGCCAACCAGAAGCTAAGTAAGAAATCAGTGGCAGGCAGGGCTATTCCCTCCGGTCTGTCTATCATGCTTAACAAATCAATCACTTTTCTAAAGCTCTCAACCCATGGGTGAAGAAGAGAGAATCTGATTACTTTGAACAGTTCGGTATACAAATAATGAATCTGTTATGTTTTTAGATATGTTTCAGGAAAGAGATGCTAAGATAACAGGGAATAAATCTGCATATCTTGACTCACAGAGTTTCTTGACTCACCTCGAATCCATTATTTAGAAATAGGTAGGTTATGAGTTGCTGTAAGATAACGCTGTGGAGTCAGTTCTGACAAGCAACCATGTGGTAGACGTGGTTGCCCAAAAATATCTCCATGGCAGTCTTCGGTTAAATTTAATAGGGACAGTCATCAGGGAGACGGGAACATTAGTTGCAGCACTGGAATTTACAGCTGGTCAAACATTTTGCAAGTATATTCTTGAGCATTTTAGACCATCCCAATCTTTAAATTAAGAAGCAATGGGCATTCTTCATCTGCCTGATCGAAGCTTAATTAGCTCACTTATCAGGAAAACATATCAAATTGTTTGGATTGAGGTTTACAGAATTCATCCTTAGTATTAAAATATTAACTATAAAAAAAATTAAAAAATAAAATAATAGAGTAATTCATTTTGTCGTATCTATTTAATATTGCGTGGGATCATTCAGTGCAATTTAAAATACATGGGTCTGGACGTAAGCTCTTAATTCCAGATAAGGGTTTGGGAGTCAAAGCTCAGCTAGCTACTAGTCTTTGCCTTGCAAAGAATTGTAGCTCTTAGGTAGGTATGGGCTGAAATTCGTTTCTTCCCCTTTTATACCACGTGTTTTTTTCTCTTATTTTTCTTTGTAAGTTACAATCCTCCATCGATTTGCTAAATATTTATGACCAAAAATTGTGAAGAATTAAAAAGGAATTCAGTGGTGCAAATTGTCTGACACATTTCCCAGGCAAAGGATGAAGTTTTGAGTTATGTTAATTATGCAAGCTGTTGAAAACTCAGAAGAGTAAATTTGAGTCCTTCCGGACTCACCAATCCTACCTCGGGGCCTCGTGAAAAGTGTTCATTTTTTTTTTCTAAAAGGGGAAAAAGTGCCTACTTGCCTTTGATAATTAATAATAGTATTATTTTATTCTCCAACATTGTAGTAATATTTCTATTCAATAAGACAAAACAAAGTTTCATTTGTTTTTCACATGTTTTTAAGTAAAATATTCTTATTTTTTTAATTTTTATTCATAATTACATGTAAATTCATTAATATTCAAAATAAATATATTATTTCATAAATGATGTTAACAATATATGTGAAATGTTTAAATTACTCGTCAAATAAAAAGAATGAATATAGTAGTATATCAATAGTTCTATGGAGAAGTTTATCGAATATCTTCAAACCTCACAATTCAAGAATGTTAAGTTCTCGCAACAAGTTTTAAAATTTAAAACTTAAATCAAACATAGGTTTATGATTTCTAAATCCACAAATGAATAAGAAAAATCAACTCATCAGCTCAACTCTCGTTTTCTCTTCTCACCTTTGGACCTCACTTTGAATCATCCATCAAAAATCAAAATAAAACATGGGTTTATGATTTCTCTTCACTAGTCGATTACGAGTTGGAGTGTTAAAAATCAACAACAAATTTGAAACATTTCAACAATGAAATTTAGATTTTGAGAGAGTTTTACCTTCTAGTTGATTTAGAGATGAAAAAAAAAGTAAAATTGTCATAAAAATACTACCACATCATTAAAAAAATAAAAACATTAATAGTTGAACAATTGTAAAACTTATAAATTTAATAAAAATATTTTTTTAACATGAATTATTTATTTTAAATAATAATAATAATAGACTCATATAAAATTATAAATAAAATTACAAAAAATAAAAGTTTTTTATTTTATCACATTCATCAAGATCCCAAATATCTTAAGAAAAAGTCTGTTCCATGCCAGTTAGCCGCACAGAACTTGGGCTTAGGTGTTGTTGGCAGGTGATTTCTACTAGAAAGCCCAAACTACGACAGGCACCCGAGCTGTCTCCACAATTAGACCCACATTTCCGAAACAGGCTCATATCAGGAAGTTATGATTTGATTTGTTTCCACTAACATATAAATTGAAACCGCCTTGACCAAAAAGGGCAACCAAAACAATCCTTATCATGGGATCGAACTTTAGTGACCAATGTGAATATGGGTGGCCTTGAGACTTCTCCAATTTGGGCCAACAAAGCCTGGTCGATCCTAAAATGGCCTAGAAAGAAATTGCTAACGCTACCATTAATCTAAAATTAGAGGGAAAAAGAAATCAGTATATGCATATAATCTAGTGATTATTGTTACTAATATGCATATGTAGAGCATTAAAATCAAAGTAATAATAACACTTGGATTTACAAGAATTGAGACAATTGGTTTGTACTCTATCTCCTACATAAGTTAAAAAAAAAAAAAACTAAGGGGAAAAAGATAAAGGGCATAAATTTGAACTAGCATAGGTGAAACCTAAACCTTGGCCATCTTTTCGGTTACCCTAGCTAATGACCTAAGGTTGCACCCAATTATCATATCAGCAAAAGAGCATGTATCCTCCTTGCTACTCCCCGCTGGGACATCCACCACGTACGACTCCATCACCAACGTCTTTCCACCCCTTCCTTCTTCAATTTCATGCAAAGTGGTAGTAGAACGGTACTTAACAAGCCTGTGATCACCTCCAATGATGCTAACCATCAGAACATGCGAGTCCTCATCAAGTTCATCTGGCCTCTCCGTGCTCGTAGCCACCGGTAACCCTGACACAACCATCACTTCACGTACGCTTCCGATGCCGCCGGTGCCGGCACTCAACGTGCAACTCTTGATGAATTGCTTGTAGACTTGTGGGAGGTCGAAGCGGCCGATTATGGACCACACCAGAGGAAGCGGTGCATCTATCGTTTGGACTAGGCTTGAGCCACATTGAATTGGTGATAGGTTTGGGGTGCGATATTGCTTTCCCATTTGCTTCTGTTTTGGGTTTGCCTCGAAGTTCTTTGCTTGCTTTCTTATATAGCATTCTGGGTCGGCAAGGAGGTTTAATATATATATATATTCTTTTACGAAGCGGTTAAAGGACGAGATATGGATAGAAGAGTATGCTAAATTGCTAATTTCTAAATATAGGAAACTTTCGAGGATGGGGATATGGTTTTTCCCTGAACTTAGCTTTTTATGGGATCAAGTTCTGTTGTAGAGTTATGTGGGTTTGTTGTTAAGCATAATCTCCATGTTCTATCATTAATCATGTGACGACCAAGCTCCAAGTATTTGTTCCAAGTTCGTTGTTCCGCTGAAGGTGGTTAATTAAGTGCAAACAATTTGGCATGTGCTGGATCGTTGCGAATTGTCCTTGCTGCCTTCAGCCGTCGGTTAGCAGCCATGTGCTTTTGGACATACCTCTCTGTGAACAGATTCACTTTGGGTGGTGACTTCATGGATCTCCCCAGTCTTTTTTTAACCTTTTTATTCTCCACCACTTCTTTTGTCCTCTGGTTTCTGATGAAGTTTATGGTTGTGAAAGGACCAGCATTACCATAAAAAGGATCGCGTCGGCTTAGCTAAGCTTTAAGGCAAAAGCTGCTTACGGAGTAGGGCCTGAATCTAAGTCAAAATTAGCTCGATTCAAGTTGGGCCCGAACATGATTTGTGGGTCTGGTCAGAAGTGTTATCGTACTGTATGAGTGAGTGCATTATAACTGGAACTTATCGACCAATTCCAAACTTTAAATGTAGAGAAAAAGGAAAAGAAAGAAACATGCTTCAAAGTAAACATCACTGGGAGACAATGCCTGAAATTGCGCCTTTCAAGCACGTTGCGAAACTTGCTTTAAATTAAATTTAGCTACTGCTGTGGGACTGTTAATGGGCCATAACTTGTTGCCAACATAACGGCCGAGAATCTCCATAAATGGTCCATTGTTCCGATAAGCATTAATTTTACATACAAAAACGTGAATACTAGTATGGAAAAATGACAAGAAAAGGAAAAGATGATTGAAAGACTAAGAACTTATAAGGCGTACACTGTTTCGAAATGATGTGTTCTTTAGACAAGCTTTATGTGCTCTTGATTTGGAAAATCTTGCAGCCATTTCAATTCTCTTAATGGGTGTCGGGGGATATTATGACACAACTTCGAGTCCAGTGTACGAGAAAACAGCAATCGTGATTAGTTTTTTCTTAATTCAAGGTGATTAGAGACTCTGAATTACACTAACGTTTGCATCAATGGCCATCTAAATATATATTGTGATGTGCTTTTATTGATGATTTTATTTTAAACTAAGTGTGTATGTACGTATGCAACAACATATATATATATATAAATTAATTACATTTTGTATCCATTTATGGACTAATTCAAATACTCCAAATTCCCAACACCACATATTTTTTCCTAGCTATGTGTATACTCTAGTGAGATTCCAAATCTTTGTAGTCATATGCGTCGCCATTATATTTTATTGGATAAGTTATGCTCCACCAGCTTAAAGGGGGAAGCAATGATAAAAGGAGAGAAAGTCATGCAGAAATTAGCATTTAGCAACTCTCCGACGCCACCAATTTTCTAATCAGGCAGCTGACGGCTATTCAGAGCATCCTCAAATCGACAGCACGAGTATACTCTCATCTCCGTTCTTGTATCATTCTCTGGCGCGGGGTAATAATCTTCTCTAAGTTGTACATCCCTTAGAGTTGGAATTCTCAGGGGAAACATCATGAAATGTTCATTTGCTGTTCCGTGAATGAAAAGTTTTCTTAGAGTCCCACACTGTGCGAGCAATCCTGCAGCTGGGAGAAAAAGGCTTCTCTGATTGACATCCCTGTCCTGTGCAGGCCAATAGTTGAGCTCATTAAGATGCAAATTCTCAATTCCACTAAGGAAAAATCTCTCCCACAAGCTCAAATCTGCGCGTCCCGAAGGAGCAGTAAGAGCATAACCTATCACTCCACTACAGTCCAGGTGCATCCTTGAAAGCCTTGGATAGCAGGCCAAGGAACTCAGCCCAAATGCATCCATGGAAGGCCTTGGTTGGTCCCTGCAATCACCTTCAATTTTTATATCTATCTCTTCCAGTGCAGGACAATCATCTAAACCTGCCAAAGATAATGGAGTGAGCAACTCACCTGCAGCAACCCAAAGGGAAAGATAGTGTAGCTTGTTCCAAGTTCTAGACGAGAATAAGTTGTCATTGCCAATAGCATAGGACTTGCATTTCTTTCCCAAGCTTTTTTCTTCCCTGATGATGCCCCGTTTCCCTGCCTCGAAGTTCTCGAATCCACCTGGTTGGTTTGAACTGCCTGTCTGGCCTTCTGATTGTACAACACTTTCCGATACGAAATCTATGTGGAGCCGTTCTATCCGATCTCGAATTGGTTCCAGTGCCTGCAACGATGAAACTACATCGAAATTTTTGCAGTCACAAATTTTCACATCAACCAAGGTTTTCTGAAGAGCATGAGTCAATTTCCACATCCCTATTACTGTGATTCTGTTGCATCCTAGAACTTCAAACTTGGAGAGTCTCAGGCAGCCAAGGGAGATGGCTACCAAAGCGGTATCAGTTAAGTCAGCAGAGTTCTTGATGGACAAAGATTCCAACCCTTGGCATAGGGCCACCCCATCTGGTCGATAATCTATACTCCTGCAGATTCCGTGGAATTGTCCCAACTTCAAGGATTTAAGCCTGGGGCACCATGAGTTAAGCACCTCCAACGCTGGCCAGGCCTCCCTAACATTGTGGCAAACATCGAGAACCAACTCCTCAAGCAGTGGCAATCCAGCAAATACATCTGCAAGTGTGGCATGGCTAATACTAGCATCTTCAGATGTGTAACCCTCATCATTTGGGTCCGCCCTTACCTTGGACAAGGAAGTAGCATCAACGAGGTGAAGGACCGAAAGGGAAGGACAATTTGAAGCAAGAGCAAGCAAGGTTTGATCGCCAACAAATCCAATGAATCTATGGTCAAATGTACATGTTGCAAGAAATTCACGGAGGTTTGGACAGAAAGCAGTAATGGCTAAAAGCTCATGGGACTTGAATCCATCAGCCGAAGAATTTTTGAGAATATTGAGACGGAAAAGACAAGCTCCAATAGATGGGTATGCTTCAAATGCTGGTGGAAGATCCTCAGTCCAGCAATAAAAATGTGAAACATCAAGTGAAGAAAGCGTGTGGCAATGCTCAAAAAGTGCAATAAAATCTGAGCCAATAGGTGTAGGCAAACGCTGATGCCAACGTATGAGTTTAACATCTCGTAAGTTAGGCCAAAGGGGAGCTAGAAGATGGAGCGTTGAAGGGTTCCGGACATAAACAGTAAGAGAAACAACTAATGGAAATGCATTTCGAAGGAGTTGAGCAAGAAGAACAGGGTTCGGAGAGGAATCGAGAAGAGGGTGTCCCCAAGGGGAGAGGAAAGAGAGGTCAAGGTTGGTAACGGCTCGAAAGCAAGCCGGAAGGAGGAGGAGATCACGGGTATTGCCACGGAGGGTGAGGGATTTCCGAGTGGAGCGCTCAAGCAAGAGCCATTTGAGACACACAAGGGACACGGCATTGCGTGTGCGAGTATCAGTAACCAAAGAGAATATGTTGGAGAGAATCACATCTGGTATGTCATGGAAATGAAGATTGCTCGAGGTTCCAGCCAATTTTTTTGCCATATGCGGTACCTATGGAAAGAATAAGATAAGAGAGATGGTGACTATTTATATCTGATCTCCTGATAGATTTCAAGATAAATGTAGATCCTGAAACTAATCAATTAAATTCCTTTGTGTGTATGGCCATGGGGACAAAAGGGTCATCCAACAGACGTGTATAAGTGAAGATAAAAGGTCCAAAGGGGCTACAACTAGCGAGGCTTGTTGAGGGAGAGAGATAGGCGAATGTGTATATATATAACTGAAAGGGATGAAGATAAATATATAGAAACAGATCGAACTTGTATTGTCTACATATAGGAAAAGGCATATATATATATATATATATATATATTTGGAGGTGTGAAAACGAAGATAAAGATTCAAGAACTTGTTAATTGGTGGCCTACAAAAGAGATCTACTTGGATAAAATAAATCTTTTATGTGGTGTGAGAGTGAAGAAAAAGGGTACCCAAAACAAGAAGAAGCATGCATATTATGTTTTTCTTTTTTTTCTTTTTTTTGAAGGGCTTGAACATTTCATTGAGGGTAGAGAACATCCCTTCGGCTGTTAATCCCCTGTTACAAAGAGACCAAATGGGTCCCATAATTCAGCCACGAAAAAACAATCAGTCCCCCGGGTCCTAAATGGCCACACAATTCAGCCACAAAACACAAGAAAAAAGCAAAAGAGGCAGAAAATATTCATGCCCACCCATACCATGAAGTGCATGTGAGGGTGAAAATGAAGATTCAATATTGAAAGGGTGAAAGAGAGAGGAATCTGTATGTCAAGGTGAGGAACTAAAGACGAAAGAAAAAGTAGTGGAAACTGGGGAGCCTGATCAGGAGAGGAGAGAGTTTTTCTCATGCAGCTGAGTTGTGGTAATCGTAAGGAAAAAACTGGCGGCTCAAGAGTTAAGAGAAAGAGAGAGAGAGTGGAACCTGGGGGACCTGAAGAGGAGGAGAGACGTGGTGTAGCTGATTCACTACTGTAACAGGTGTCATTTTGAGGATGATAATGCAGATACTGAAATTTAAAGCTGTGGCCAAAGAGATTGCATGGGTGGACAAAATAAAAGCTGGCCTCTATGGTAGAAGATAAAGATACACAGTAACAATATATAAATAAAAAATGGAACAGCAACTGGCCCGGCGGGATGCCACTTACCTCACAAGGGGACTCCATCATTTTTGTCATGATCCACTTCCCATATATATTCCTTTTTATTATTCCTTCTCTTTTTGTGAAATCTTTTTCACCTTTTCCTGGATTTTTCTGTCTTGATCTTTTCCTCTTTATTTTCTTTTCTAGTAAATCAAAATATAACTCATAATAGGAATACATGAAATATGCCTTTTACTACCCCAAAAAACCTCCTTTTCTATTTGTATATATTCAAGATTCCTCTTGCGTTTAGAAAGTATGTACATATAAAACATTGAAAGTAATAGTACAAAGAAATACTATACATAGCAAAAGAATAAATTAAAACATGGGGCAGAGGAGAAGCCTTCTCCTATTCATTTATTTATATATATATATATGTATATGTATTAAATGAAAACATATCTTATGTATACATGTCCATCCGAATCATTAAAAAAGATGCTTATAATTTATGAATTTATGAATTCTAATTTATTAAAATAGTCACCTACTTGAAAATTTTGTAATTCATAATATTATTTTTTATGAAGTCTTCACTATTTATTTAAATTTTATTATTTCTTCACATGTCATACATGAGTTAATTAATAATAATAGAGAATTCAAACTATTTGATTAATCTTTGGAAAAAAAAACTTCAATTATAAATGGTCCATCAAATCAAGTATTGGTGTTAAAGAGCATAGCATATTTTGTCCACAAATTAAGATTAATTTTACTAAAAGCTAAAAGGATGCAAGTGCATTAAAGTTAAAGTAGAAAAAGAATCATTTGGTAAAAGAAGGATATGGGCAGTTGGTGATGCAAAAGAAAGATAGACTACTTCATTAGTGAATTGCGACAAAAAAAAAAAAGGGTTATTGTTATCACTAAAGAGAAGAGAACACAAAGAACCTTACTTGTCTTCTTTTTCTAAAAGGGTGAAAGAACAAACAAGTGAGTGATCGATCAATGCAAGTGGAGAAAAAAGGAGTTAAAAAGGGGAAAATAAGATAAAATTTTTAAATACTTTTCCAAGATGCTGCAACCTGCACGTGTATATGGTTAGGATAAACATTTGCAACATCTTACAGGGAAAGTTTTCAGCTCTAAAAATTTTACCCCCCACCACAAGTGACTGCAGAATGAGTAAAACCAAAATATTGGCCTATATGTTGAGGAAAGGCCAAGCAAAAAGAAGTTGTGGGGAGTTCAGTTCATTAAGTAAGGGAAGGAAATTTACTTGAGAGTTTTAAAAAGCAGGGAACAAAATGCTCTCAGCATATTAATTAAAGTAGTTTCCTGAACAAGATTTGAGATGATTTGCAAGCTTTGATACGTATTTGTATGTTTCTTTAAGTAGAATGATTGATATAACTTGTAAGAAATGAGAATTTGATTAAGTTGTGTCGCTGTAAAGTCGAAGGATACCATGTCAACTAGTTGTCTGTTTGAAGGATAAGCACAGTCAAAATCCAGAAACAAAGATGATTCGGTGCATTGAACATCTCGGGAGCATTTCCACACCCCTTTTCATTGGCAATGAGATTGCATAAGGGTTTGGATAATCAAAACCGACCCCCAAAAGCCGAAAGAACTAAGAAAACACCATAGTGCCTAGCACTACCAGGTTCCCGGTGTAGATTCAACTTAAGATAACCCTCCCCTCCCCAACCAAAAAAAGAGAAAGAAACACACAACGAACAAGAAGACAAAACATGTGGATAAAGCCTCTAAAGACTCTGATAGACACGCATCCTTGAGAAAAGAACCACGCCTTTTCTCTGTTTTTCTACCAGCAACTGCTTGCATATACAAATTGCTTATCTGTTGGACAGTAGACCGTCAAGAATGTGAATTAAACTGTTCCCCAAGTTGCCGACGTTCCATGTTTAATGACTCATTTGCAGTTGAAGTAATCCATTAATAAGGAGCGATTCAATTTCCTCCTTTACTTCTTAACTCTTCCAATCCTTTGCCCATGCAATATTGATACTGAAATCATGAGGTTCAAATTAAGAATCATGATTTTTCAACACTTGGAATTTAACAAAGCTGTTTTCCACTTCTTTTGACATCAATTGTCCTGGAGTTGGAATAAATTTCCATATCCTCAAGTTTGGATCATGTTGCCACAATCAATTCCATCTTCAGATAAACTTTCCATGTTTTCTTTGTCCTCTTGGATGACCTGCTATCCAACTCACTACCCTTAACTCACTCATATTGGATTTAGCATATCTTCTATCATAGAAGCAATGTATAGGACTACTTATGTCTCGTAGATTGATATTGTTAATTGTCCCCAAATAGCTTCCCTAAAAACGGGAACGATCTCATTGTTGTGCTATGCATCTTGTAACAGAAGCTTCCCAAACTAGAATCTGAAAGGATTCATATTTCCAATGGAACATTGTCAGCAAGAATCGATGATTCTTTTATAAGTATACATATAGGGTAAAAATTGAATAACACTCCAGTTATTGCTTCACAAATTTTCCCAACAATGCGAAATCATCGATGTCCTTTACCTCTGATACTAATAGACACAATGGATTACAAGTTGTGAAGCTGCACTTTGATTAGCCATAAAAACATCAGGCTATTAGAGGTTAAACAGGGGAAATAATTTTTCAGGGTTAAAGCCAATTCTATGTCTGGTAATGTTAATTTTATAATAATCAACAAGTCAGTACCATAAGGCCCTCTCACGTTTTAACCAACAAGAACATATCCGTAAACTTAAACTCCTAACCTCTTATCTGGGACCTCTTCAAAGCCCTTCCAAGTACCATCAAGTCATTAATCCCCGGTCTTAATAGCTTTCCTTGAATGATCTAACAATGAGATATACTTTAGTTTCAATATATACAACTTGACACCCCATGTCACGGGTTTGAAACTTTAACCAAGTTTCGTGCAATGCTTTAGCCTTGGGTACGTAAGATTAAGTCAGCCTTAATGAGGATTCTTGAATATTGGCACAAAAACGTAAAATAAATAAATATGAAAAAAAAGATTAAAGAGAATAAATAAGTATTATTACATCAATGAGAGAAAAACAAAGTACCTAAGATCTAAATACAAAAGTAAATTGTTTGATTTAGCAAACATGATTTGATTACCTTACAATGACTCCTGTAAGTACTATTTATAATAACCTACTTGACCTAAACTTAGTGTGTAAATAAAGTAAATATAGAAATACCTAACTTAGACTTTTTGGAGTACAAGAAAAGTAAAATTCTAAACCTACGTCTACTTGATGAGCAAGTAATCCACAAAAAAAACTTTATTTTTGGAGGCAACAATTGATGGACCCTTGCATGTGGTTGGCTCAACAATCCATGTGAGTTGGATTGGTCACAATTCTGCAAACTGTGACATTCTCCTCTACTTGATTTAGACAACGCCCTTGTTGCCTCGTGGTCTATCTCCACCACAAGTCTTCATCGGGTTTCCCACAAGCGTTGTGGGTATGTTTGAGGCAATTTTTCTCCAACTATCTCGAGAACACTTCTTAATTGGGATGTGTTTTGTCGTGTGGATTTTTAGGTCGCGACTAGCCAGTGTCGTCCAAGTACACAACTCTTTTGTGTGCAATATCTCCATTTGCGACAAACATAAGATTTGACCTTAACGCGTAAGTAGTGTCAAAACTAAGTAAATCAAATCTCCTTTGCCCCATAAGGAAATCGCAAAACACATCTTTTTAGAACTTGTCTACCATCAATTCATCTAGCCTCACATTGTGGCGAATTAACGAATCCTTCGTGTGGTGCCATCCTTTGCAAAGCTCAACGCTATTAGAACCCAATTGCTCAATACTGTCGTCGCCCAGTTCGAAGTTGCTCCACACCTCATGATTGATAACCAACTCACTGCGGGATACACGATTATCCAATACTTGAAAGATGTCCTTAGACTTGTAAGGCTCCGCGGCACATGTATACGTAATTTCCCTATTTGCAACGCTTACACTATCTTGAACCAAGGCGTTCAAGTAAGAAGTGTTTTGGTCACCAATTGATGTCATTCTTTCTCTTAATCTTCAAACCGTGTGATACCTAGCTTTAAAAAACGTGCCTCTACTACCAACTATCACAAGCTTAGAACTTTAGTCAAGTTGTGTGCGATGCTTTAGCCTTGTGTATATAAAACTAAGCAAACCTTAACGAGGATTCTTGAATATTGGCACGAAAACATAAAGCAAATAAATATGAAAAAAGAGATTGAAGAGAATAAATAAGTATTATTGCTCTAATGAGAGAAAAACAAAGTACTTAAGATCTAAGCACAAAAGTAAATTACTTGATTCAACCAATTTGATTTGATTGGCCCACAATGACTCCTAAAGGTGCTATTTATAATCACCTACTTGACCTAAACTTGGTGTGCAAGTAAATGTAAATATGGAAGTATCTAACCTAGATTTCCTTTGAGTAGAAGAAAAGTAAAATCCTAAAACTACACCTACTTGATGAGCAAATAATCAAGAAGGAAAACTTTATTTTTGAAAAGTATTCTAGCTGCCCTAGAATACTTTGCTTAGCTGCCTAGGCGGCAGCTGATGGACCCCTGCATGTGGACTAGCTCGACAATCCATGCAGGCTGGATTGGTCAAGGATATACGACCCGTGACACCCCACCCCACCCCAACCCCAACCCCACACACACATTTGACTCTAGGTAAAGAAGTTGGAAGTCAAAGCCAAAAAGGTAAATAAGGATAGGTTTCTCCTAAGAGTTGTCATCTTCCAAATCTATTTACCAAATAAAATGCTGTCCATTGATGCTAGCAAGACCAAACATCAAGGGAGGATGGCTCCTCATAAATCTTGTACAACCCAACCCAAGGCAGAAGTGGTTTGAGCAGCTCTTCACCCCTTCTTTGTATATTTTGATGTAGATTAAATGCAAGATGAAAGTTCTACATTTGATTAAGGTGTATAATTTGCCTTACAAATTCGAAACAAGTTGTGAATGCTAAC